ATTTCCAGGAAGGCACGGACAGGCGGTTTACAATCCCCGATGGGAAGACTGGCGGACTTTCAATCGGCAAACCCAACAAACAGTATTCAGTTGAAAGTTTTAGTCTTGTCCAATGAACTTAGTGTTCTCATAACTTGCTTTCTAATTAAACAGAGCGGGGCCAATTGCTGTGGCGTAGCAGGTAAAGCTGCCTTCTACGGCACCAGCATCCCATACGGGCAATGGTTCAAGTCCCAGCTGCTCCACTTCCGATCCAGCTCTCTGCTATGGCCTGGGAAAGCAGTAGAAGATGGCCCAAGTCCTTAGGCCCCTGCACCTGCGTGGGAGACCCGGAAGGACCTCCTGGTTTCGGATCAGCATAGCTTCGGCCATTGTGGCCATTTAAGGGAGTGAACCAGTGGATGGAAGACCCCTCTCTATCTCTGTCTCTACCTCTCTCTGTAACTCTGCCTTTCAAATAAATAAATAAATCTTTAAAAACAACAACAACAAAACAGAGCTTTGGAGGATGATAGCTTTCCTGCTTGTTTCTGATACTTGCTGGACAAATACTTGATGATGATTTCTGGAGATGCATTTGTTTTTTGTCACCATAGTCTTCCAGCCTTGAGGCATTAGACGTAGACTTGAGAAATGATATTTAAATGAAAATGGTTTTGGGGACCTACATTGTGGCACAGGGGGTTAAGCCAGCATCCCACATCAGAGTGCTGGGTTGGATCCCAGCTGCTCTGCTTCCAATGCCTGCTAATTCTCCTGGGAAGACAGCAGATGAGGGCCCCAAGTGCTTGGGCCCCTGCCACCCACATGGGAGACCTGGACGGAATTCTGGCTCCTGGCTCCACCCTGGCCCGGCCCAAGGTGTTTTGGCCATTTGGGGAATGAATCCTAGAGTGGAAGATTTCTCTTTTACCCTGTCTTTCAAATAAATAAAATAAATCTTTAAAGATTTTAAAATTTAAAAAGTGGAGCAGGGGCCAGCGCTGTGGTGCAGTGGATTAAAGCCCTGGCCTGAAATGCCAGTATCCCATATGGGTGCCGGTTCGAGTCCTGGCTGCTCCTCTTCAGATCCAGCTCTCTGCTATGTCCTGGAAAAGCAGTAGAAGATGGCCCAAGTCCTTGGGCCCCTGCACCTGCATGGGAGACACGGAAGAAGCTCCTGGATTCTGGCTTCGGATTGGCACAGCTCTGGCCACTGCTGCCATCTGGGGAGTGAACCAGTGGATGGAAGACCTCTCTCTCTCTCTCTCTCCCTCTCTCTCTCTGCCTCTCCTCTCTCTGTGTAACTCTGACCTTCAAATAAATAAAAAAAAATAAAAAAAGAGAAATATTATTAAAAAAAAAAAAAGGAAGTGGAGCAGCTGGGACTTGAACTGGCACCCATATGGGATGCCGGTGCTTCAGGCCAGGGCTTTAATCCTCTACATAAATCTTTTTTAAGAAAGAAAATGGTTCTGTTTCAATGTATTGCTCTTGTTTTTCTCATGTGGACCTGACCCTGATGTCGATGGATGAGTTCTGGGAAGATGGCATGAAACTGTGTTCTCAGATACAGCCTGGCTCTCCCACATACCAGCTGTGTGATCTTGGGCCAGTCATTGACTCTTTTTTTTTTTTTTTTTTTGACAGGCAGAGTGGACAGTGAGAGAGAGAGAGAGACAGAGAGAAAGGTCTTCCTTTTTCCATTGGTTCACCCCCCAGTGGCCGCTGTGGCCGGCACACCACGCTGATCCAAAGCCAGGAGCCAGGTGCTTCCTTCTGGTCTCCCATGCAGGTACAGGTCCCAAGGACTTGGGCTATCCCCCACTGTACTCCTGGGCCACAGCAGAAAGCTGGACAGGAAGAGGAGCAACCAGGAAGGAATCCGGCGCCCCGACCGGGACTAGAACTCTGGGTGCTGGCGCCGCAGGTGGAGGATTAGCCTGTTGAGCCACAGCGCCGGCCCAGTCATTGACTCTTTTTTGTGCATCTGGTTCCTTGTCTATAAACAGGTATCATAGTAGTAGCTTTACCTGTATGGTTTTCATGAAGATGAAACGAGAGAATGAATGTGAGAATGCATACCGTGCAGTAGAATGTAAGTTTCTCAGTAAACATTAGTTACTTTTATTATTGCCATTAGCAGGATATTTGAGAAGGCGAGAACTACATTCACGGTCACACCACGTTCCTGTTAATTCTGTGCTGGGCTGCAGCTTCCATAGGTCAGGGACAATCCGGCTTCTTTTGTATTTAATCAGGGCTTCCAACTCAGACTGTTTCCAAGGGCCGAGCAGAAGGACAGCCCCAGAGCTGGCCTGCATTTACTCTCGGAAACACAGAGTGGCCGCTCGGTCCACACCTCGGGACGCTCGCCCAGGGACTCAGCCCTCTGCTCATGTCGCACAGAACCCTCTGTGTTTCGAGTGGCTTCCTCCTTCTTTGGCAGCACTTCTGCTGTGTGTTTCTGAGGCTGCAGCCCTGGGTGGCCATGTTTGTTCTGGTTTCTTCCATCTGCTTTCTACAGGGGGGTCCTGGCTCACAAATTGCTGTATGAGGTGCTTGGAACTGCTGCTATGGCAGACTCTTTCCTTGCCTCTGCTGGCTCCTGCTGCTGGCAGGGGACCGGCATTCCTCGGCTTGCAGAAGCCTCACTCCAGTCTCTGCTTCCGGCCTCACATGCCCTTCTCCCTTGTGTCCGTGTCCAGCTTCCCAAATTCCTTCTCGTCACGGCACCACTTGTGGGATTAGGGCTCGTCCTGATGCTCGCCTCTCAACCCAATCTCGTTTACGAAGATCCTGCTTCCAAACCAGGTCTCACTCCCGGGTGGCAAGCAGGGTTGCGGCTTCCCTGTATTCTTTTTTTTTTTTTTTTTTTTTGTTTTTTGACAGGCAGAGTGGACAGTGAGAAAGAGAGAGAGACAGAAGACAGAGAGAAAAGTCTTCCTTTGCTGTTGGTTCACCCTCCAATGGCCGCCGCGCACCGCGCTGATCCGATGGCAGGAGCCAGGAGCTAGGTGCTTTTCCTGGTCTCCCATGGGGTGCAGGGCCCAAGCACCTGGGCCATCCTCCACTGCACTCCCTGGCCACAGCAGAGAGCTGGTCTGGAAGAGGGGCAACCGGGACAGAATCCGGCGCCCCGACCGGGACTAGAACCCGGTGTGCTGGCGCCGCAAGGTGGAGGATTAGCCTAGTGAGCCGCGGCGCCGGCCTCCATGTGTCTTTACTGGGGAGGGACACAATGCAGCCCAGCGTGCTGGCACTGCTCTTTGGGGTGGGGTCTCCACACAGCGACAGATGGCAGAGACTCAGGAAGGAGGTGCAGCCCTGAGCTGAACTGGAAGTGGAGCATGGGGTGGAGGACGCAGGTGGCTTTGCTGGAAGGAGCTGCTGTGGCTAAGGACCAGCCCAGAGGACTGGGAGCTCCGGAAGGAACCGAGCAAGCCAGGGTGCAGGGCTCAGGCCTTCTCCACCGACGCAGAACTGTCCCCTGAGCCCCCTCTGGGCCACAGGGCAGTGTGAGCCCTAGAGGACCCGAACGCTCCATTTTCTACAGACAGCCCAGACTTCTAGACTTTGAAAATGTCCAGTCTCCCAGTGTTTAAATGTTCATGATAAATCCACATTAAAACAAAGCTCATTTGAGGTTGGCAGCTTGCAGTTTGGAGTTGGAGGAGGGGAGAAGGCCAAGGATTGCTCAGAGATGATTTTGGAGAGCAAATAACTGACACTTACCTTGGAAACACCTAAGACTTCTTAATACATTATTATTGCTTCTTATATGCTGATGTGTTTGCAGTTGAACATGGACTTCTTTTTGGAGCATTGTTCTTTTTTTAAAAGATTTACTTATTTGAAATGTAGAGCAACAGAAAGAGTGAGAGCGAGAGCGAGAGAATCTTCCATCACTGGTTCATTCCCCCAAATGCCTGCAGTGGTTACATCTGGGCCGAGGTGAAGCCAGGAGCCAGGAATTTCATCCAGGTCTCCCATAGGGGTAGCTGGGACCCAAGTAACTGGGGCATCATGCACTGTCTTCCCAGCATTAGCAGGAAACTGGATCAGAGCAGAGAAGTTGGGAACCAAACCAGCACTCTGATACAGGATGTGGGTGTCCCAAGAGGCGGCTTAACCCACTGTGCCACATCCCCAAGTCCTGGAGCCCTGAACCAGTAAGCAGCCACTAGAATCTCTGTTTTTCATCTCCTGTTAAGTCTTTCTCACAGTGTTCTCTGTGACAACTCTACTAAAGACAGGGTAAAACAGCTCTGTTTCTTTAACTACTCTGCGTAGCTGTGGTCTGCCGCACTTTTTTTTTTTTTTTTTTTTTTTTTTTTTGGACAGGCAGAGTTAGACAGTGAGAGAGACAGAGAGAAAGGTCTTCCTTTTTCCGTTGGCTCACCCACCAAGTGGCCGCTATGGCCAGAGCATTGCGGCTGGTGTGCTGCGCTGATCTGAAGCCAGGAGCCCCAACCGGGATTAGAACCTGGAGTGAGGGTGCCGCAGGCGGAGGATCAGCCTAGTGAGCCGTGGCGCCGGCCCATCTTCTACTACTTTCCCAGGCCATGGCAGAGAACTGGATCAGAAGTGGAGCAGCTGGGACTTGAATCGGCACCCATATGGGATGCCGGCACTGAAGGCAGTGTACCCGCTGTGCCATAGCGCCGGCCCCAACATTATTATTTCTTAAAAGAAAAAGTGTTGTGGCCCTTTCATCGAAAAGGAAAATGATGTGGATACAGGAAAGTCTATCAGTCAGCGGATCAACCATCTGTTCCCCCCTGGGATAGGAGAAAGGAAAACCATGGGGAGGGAAGGTCAGCTGGGGATGTCCAGGCCTCAGGAATGGCGTGGAGGGGCGGTTCCCGACGGCGGGGGAGGGAACTGGGTGCGCAGCTGCTGGGGCTGTGCGGAAGCCCCTCCCCCGCTCACCAGCTCTGGGATGGCAGTTAAGTCCTTCCCCCTTTCCCTACCTCAGTTTCCGCATCTGTAAAATGGGACACATTTCTTTACATCTCCAGGCCTTCTGCTTTGAGGTTCCGCGAGAGCAGGGTGAGGCAGCAGTGACGAGGACGGGGTAAAACCCAGCGTCTGACTCATGACAGGTGGGGAATGAAAGTCGCTTTTTGCTCTCCACCCGCTCCGCTGCCAACCCAGCCACGGAGGACTCAGACACTCCCCGGGCAGGAAGCAAGGGCAGCTGCCTCCCCAGTGCTGGGAGGCTGAGGCCCAACACGGCGACTTGACACCCCCCACAGAGGCGGGAGGAGGCCTCGGGATCCCAGTGCTTCCAGCTGCTCCTCTCCTGAAGAACTGGCAGGAGCCCCGCCAGGCTTTGCCCCATGGGCTGGGCTGGGCAGGTGAGTAACCAACTATTTCTGGGCGGGGAGGAGGGCAGGACTGCCAAGGGGGTGCCCAGCTGCAGCCGCTGCTCTGCCAGGTGACTCCTGGGCGGCGATCCCAGTGTGTGTGCACCTGTGTGCACGTGTGTACGTGTGCACGTGTACATCTGTCGCTGAGCTCCAGGGTGCAGGAGGAGGCTCACGGACGGCAGTGAGAAGGCTCCAGGCTGGACACTTTCTGGGCAGCAGGTACTCCTGGGCTTTGGAAGCTTTATGACTATGCACGCCAATTTTGTGTGTGTACCTGGCGGTGCATGGGCTGCCCGTACGTTTGGCTCGACACTGTTCCCAGAGTGTGTGTGGTGCGGGTGCTGGATGAGGTTAGCATTTGACCTGGCGGGTCCCAGCCTGCCCGATGTGGGTGGACCTCATCCAGTCCATGGGAGGCCGGAGAGAACAGAAAGGCTGGGCTGGGGAGGATTTGCTCTCTCTGCCTGCCTGTCTTCCCCCTGGGAGGTCAGCCCTCCCTCACCTCTGGACTCAGACTGTGTTGAAACTGACACCGTCAGCTCTCCGGCTCACCAGCCGGCTGACTGCAGATCCTGAGACTCTGAGGCCGATTACGATAATCAATCAGTCAATCCTTTAGTTCTGTTTCTGTCGAGATCCCTGATGGATAGGAACTGGTTTCCCACACATGAGCTGTTTTCCTTCCCTTGTCCTGACCGGCAGAGACGGCTTCACAAGGACACGAGACTGTGGGCTCGCTGGGCTTGGAGAACGGGTAGATTCCTTCATCCCTTCATTGCACAGACATTGGCTGGCTGAAGGCCTGCTGGTTCAGTTCGCCCTTGTTGTGCCCTGCTGGGGGGTGGGGTGGGATGCAGTTGGCAGAGAATACCAGGTCGCTGGTGTCCTGGGCTGACAACATGGCAGCCCTGTGCCTGTTACATTAGGCCGTAGCCATGCACTGGGTTTGGGGACACAGCAGTGAGCAGAACCCATTGCTTCCTGCCCCTGGACTTCACCTTGACCTGCTACAAAGTGCTGGAAACAAGACCAGCTCATTGCCCTCAATGCATCTAACCTAAACACAGGCCCGTGACTGGCTCTGATCACAGTGGAAGGCTCGCCCTTTCGGGGCCTGTGGGGAAGCACTTCCTGGCCCTTCCTACTCCCAGCCGACCTCCCAACATTGGGTTGCAGCCTCCTCTTCGTTCCCACCACACCTTCCACCTCCATCGTTACAAAACTTCCCCTCCCTGTCTGCTTTTCCTGGGTGCGCCCCGGCTCTCGCTGACTCCCCTGCTGCAGGGGCCAGGGCTGTCTCGCTGGAGCTGCAGAGGCCATGGGGGATGCTCCGTGGATATCGCTGTGTGAACAGATGCATGGGATGAATGAGCTTTCTTCTGGGCCAGCGGTGCTGTTTCTCTTTAGATCCCTCTTTTGGAACAGGAGAGATTGTCGTTAAATAAATTAACCTATATTATTAGGCTCCTATTGTATAAGTCAGGATTCTCCAGAGAAATAAAGCCAACAGGAGACATCTGGGTGAAGGGGCATCAGAAAGTTCACGGACAGGGGCCAGCGACGTGGCACAGTGGGTTAAGCTGCTGCCTGTGACGCTGGCATCCCATATGAATCCTGGCTGGAATCCTATCAGAATCCCAATTCTGATCCAGTTCCCTGCTAATGTACCTGGGGAAGCAGGGGAGGATGGCCCAGACACTTGGGGCCCTGCCACCATGGGAGAGACCAAGACAGAGTTTCAGTCTCCTGGCCTCTGCCTGGCCCAGCCCCTGCTGTTGCAGCCATTTGGGGAGTGAACCAGCGGATGGAAGATCAATCTCTCTCTCTCTCTCTGTCTGTCTCTCCCTCTCTCTGTGTAACTCTTTCAAATAAATAGGTCTTTAAAAAAAAGGTTCAAAGACAAAAGGACAATTTGGATTAACTTAAAAATTATTTATTTGAGACACACACAGGCGTGCGCGCGCGCACACACACACACACACACAGACGTGTCGCATCTGTTGGCTCACTCCCCAAACACCCTAACTGCAAGTCCTTGGTACAGCTGGGCTTGTGCTCTTGGTATGCAGGTAACCTTGAGGCCAGAAGCTCACGATCCATAAGAAGTTTGTCTCCTCCCATTATGCTCAATAAAATGCAAGTGACCTAGGGTGGGCATTCAGCCTAGTGACAGGCAGGCACACTGCTTGGGATGCCTGCTTCCCACATCAGAGGGCGTGTGCTCAGGTCCTGGCTCTGCTCCCGACGCTGGCTTCCCTGGGAGGTGACACGTGATGAATCATAGCTGGGAACCTGCCGGCCAGGTAGGAGGCCAGGTTCTGGCTTTGACTTGTCCCAGTCCCAGCTGTTGTGGGAATTTAAGGAGTGAGCCAAGGAACGGAGCTCATCTCTCTGTCTGCCTGTCTCTTTGCCTTGTGAATAAATAAATAAAAAATTTAAAAAGCAAGTAACAGAAAATCCAACGCAAGCTGGTTTGAACAACACGCAAGACTTAGGGTTCCTGAGGTATAAGAAGCCCGGAGGCTGGAAGGACTTCAGGTTCGGTCGCATCAGAGCCCTGCGACCGGAGCTCGGCCCTCCTCTGAGTCAGCTCTGGCCTAGGACGGTGGGGAGCCCCGGGGCCTCGCGTCACTTAGAGGAGGCTGTTTCTTCCTGCCTTGCTCCCAAGAGTAAGGAAATGTTCACAGAAAGCGGCTAAAACCACACTCCTCATTGTAGCAATGAGAATTAAACCCACAGGGAGATACCCCATCACGGCCACTGGGATGGCTATCACGGAAAACAGGATAACACACAGTCAGGGTATGGACAAAGCAGACCTCCCACGCACAGCTGTCAGGAATGCACAATGTGCAGCCACTTTGGAAGACTGGCGGCTTATTAAAAATGTCAACATAAATTGATCCAACAGTTCCACTCTTAGGTGTTTATAATTGAAGAAACTGAAAACATATGTCCAATCTTCCACAGGAAGACTGTTCAGGAAATGTCATCTCACCCTGATTCATAACCAACAACAGGGCAGAAACCAGCGCTGGCATTGTGGCACAGTGGATTAAGCTGCTGCCTGCGATGCTGGCATTCCATATGAGTCTGGTTTGAGTTCTGGCTGCCCCAGTTCCTGCCCAGGTTCCAGCTAATGCACCTGGGAAACCAGCAAATGATGGCCCGAGTACTTGAGCCCCTGCCACCCACGTGGGAGACCCGGGTAGAGTTCCAGGCTCCTGGCTTCAGTCTGGCGCAGCCCTGGCGATTGTGGCCATTTGGGGAGTGAACCAGCGGATGGAAGATCTCTCTCTCTCTCTCTCTGTAACTCTGCCTTTCAAATCAATCAGTCAATCAATCAATCAATCTTAAAAGCAGAAACCATCCAAAGACCCAGCAACAGATGAACGGAGATGGAGAAACAAAGCGTGAGGCCTGCATACAACGTCATACAGCCACCGTGTGAAGAACTCGGGAACACTTAAACAAAAATTCTATCCATAGCAAAAGTTCACAAAAGGCAAATCCGCAGGGACAGTGGATAACTGGCTGCCTGGGGCTTGGGATGGGAATGGAGTTGACTGTACGTGAGTGTGAGGGACGTTGAGATGATGTTATAAACTACACTGTGGTGACGGCTGCACAGTTCAGTCAATTTACTAAAAATCTTTGAATGACGTGCTTAAAATGGTCAGATTTGGCCGGCGCCGCGGCTCACTAGGCTAATCCTCCGCCTAGCGGCGCCGGCACACCGGGTTCTAGTCCCGGTCGGGGCGCCGGATTCTGTCCCGGTTGCCCCTTTTCCAGGCCAGCCCTCTGCTGTGGCCAGGGAGTGCAGTGGAGGATGGCCCAGGTGCTTGGGCCCTGCACCCCATGGGAGACCAGGAAAAGCACCTGGCTCCTGGCTCCTGTCATCGGATCAGCGCGGTGCGCCGGCCGCAGCGGCCATTGGAGGGTGAACCTCTCTGTCTCTCTCTCTCTCACTGTCCACTCTACCTGTCAAAAAAAAAAAAAAAGAAAAAAGAAAAAAAGAAAAAAAAATGGTCAAATTTATAGTATGCAAAAAAAAAAAAAAAAAGGAGGAGCCAGGGCTGTCAGCAGTGACCTTGGAGCACGTGGGCTGTGAGTAATGAGCATTACTTAAAAAAAGAGAAGAGAACCTGAGACCCCCCCCCCCCCCCATCGGCTGCCTAAGACTACACTTGTGTCTGTAAGTCTAACAAACCGTGCTCTTTGCAAGCCTGGTTTGTCTGCCTCTTCCTTTGTTCTCCTGTGCCGTCTGGCCTCAGGCATCAGCGGCTGCTGACACCACAGAGAGACAGCCAGTCACAGGGAAAGCACTGTCAGCACCACTTTTTTTTTTTTTAAAAGACTGATCTATTTATTTGAAAGGCAGAGACATGGGGGGATGGGGCAGAGGGGAGACAGAGAAAGAACTTCCAGATGCTGGTTCACTCCCCAGTGGCTACAACCCCCGGGCTGGGCCGGCCCAAACCAGGAGACAGGAGGCGCTGCGTCCAGGTCTCCCACAGGGCCCAGGGAGCTGAGCCATCATCTGCTGCCTCCCAGGATATGCATGAGCAGGGAGCTGGATGGGAAGCGGAGCAGCTGAGCCTCACACCAGAACCCTCTTAGGAGATGTGGTGTCACAAGCAGTGGCTGGTGCCATAATACCCGCTCTTCAACATCACTTTTTTTAAAAAAAAAGTTAAAAATCTATTTACTGGGCCGGCACTGTGGTGCAGCGGATAAAGCTGCTGCCTGCAGTGCCTGCATACCATATGGACACTGGTTCGAGTCCGGCTGCTCCACTTCCTATCCAGCTTTCTGCTATGGCCTGGGAAAGCAGTAGAAGATGGCCCAAGTCCTTGGGCCCCTGCACCTGAGTGGCAGACCCAGAAGAAGCTCCTGGCTCCTGGCTTCGGATCGGTGCAGCTCCGGCCGTTGCAGCCATCTGGGGAGTGAACAGCAGATGGAAGACCTCTCTCTCTCTCTGCCTCTCC